TCTGGCTCTGGACCGTCCTGGCTCTGTGGTGGAGCTGGCTGTGGACAGAGGGGACCTTCCAAGTCAGGCAAGACCCCTGCGACTGCAGGGCTGCGGGAGCAACGGCAGGTATTTCCAAAGGTACTGAAGGTCGATTCACACACTGGTGTGACCGAGCACTGCTAATCCCCATGGCTTGCAGCTGTCTCCCTTGCTCCATTTGAAATTTGGGAGCAAAATTTATCCAGAGGCTTAGAGTTAATAAACCTGACTGTGTCACGGGCACACGGGAGACGTGTGTCCTACAAAAATAACCTGCTAGCTCTGTGTGCACACACGTACAGTAACCAACTAGTATGGAAGGTTCATTTGGGATGTGCTGTCCCTGGTGACTATTTACAAGCACAAACATTCAGGTGGGGTCTTCTGGCCATCGCTGAAGGCTGCAGCAGCAGCAGCAAACCTGGGGAAGGTCCTGGCCACGCCGCACCGCAGGCACCCGTACGCGAATCGACAGGCAATGTTTCCACCAAAGCTGCAAACGGATTGGACTCATCTTCCCTGGGTCCTCCTGACTGTCAGCCACTGATGCAAGTCAGGAGATTTTTATCTACACAGTGCTTTCAGATAAAAGTTTTATGGATGCAAAGATTTATTATACTTAGTGAATAAAGCTGATAACGAAAAATCAGTATTTTCCATGAGGAGAGGGAGAACTTTCCACAGACTTCAATGAAAACTCCTTTTTTTTTTTTCCACAAAAAACAGACACTTCACAAAATTAATTTTGTCAAAATATAAGTTAAGCATAAAATTTGTGACTAGCCCCACTTGTGAGTGCTAACGCTGCTCTCTATGGTACCCGTGGCTGTCTGTTAAGGAATGGAAAGCACAGCTTATGTCAAAATTAGTGAAAGACGTATTTTTTTTCTTATTCTTTTTTTAACACCTAAATTTAGATCCGCTGTGGTGACCAATCGCACCGACCTCTCGCACAGCGCCTAGGCTGGGGCTGGGGACCAAACGTGGGCTGGCGATGGGGCGAGGGGCAGCGGCTGGTGCCGGCAGCGCCCAGCGGTGCTCGACAGTGGAGGAGAAAGCCCTTTTTGTTATACAGTGTTTATTAAGTAGATTCAGTCTTATATATGATATACAGATTCAAAAGAAAAAAAAAAAAAAAGGATTCCACATACTTATGAAATCAGTGCATTTAGCAAGTAATACCATGGAGATAACAGCTTGATTAACAGCTCATTGGTCTTTGTTAAGTGAGGGGAACAGGGAGTTGGCCTGTGCTAATCATTCCACAAACAGAACAGAATTAAGTTGCATCACATATATAATAGACACACATTCTAAGAATTAAAATATTAAGCCACATTTACTGGAAAAATCCACAGTATATAACACAAATAACTCTTATCAAGCTCGTTGAGGAGGAAGTGCTCATCTGCTTAAGAGCCACATTAAGTTGCATAGGTGCCTATCTGCAAAAATATCATTTCAAAATGAATCAATTGATTAAGCAATAAAGTGTCACCTTAAAAGCTGGATTAAGTGCCATATGCTTTCTATCCAAGCCCTCAGGAAAGCACCGACTTTCCAAAGAGCCATCTTCTGCTTCGTTTCGGAGCCCCCCGCCTCCTGAGGGAATGCGCTCCCACCCTTTTGATCTGAAATCAGCGGCCAGCTCGGGCGATTTCACTGTGTTCAGTAAAGTTATGCTTCCAATTATGCTGATGAGTGTTCCCCCCCCCCGCCCCGCTTCCTTGCAAGCCCCCTTGGCTCGAGCATTCTTCTGCGTTGGTTGAACCCTACGCTGAGCTCGGCAGCTTTCACCTTCCCATCTCGACGTCAGGAGGAGGATGGTGAAACAGCAGCACCGTGCGACTCTGCCTGCCTGAGTTCGGTGCTTCAGTTAACTGAGCATCGTCTTAGCTCTCGTTTTGAATTGCAGCCAATCCTTAAATTGACTACTGGGGGAAAAAAAAAACCAACAACCCAATACAACAGCTTGTGCAAAACCCCAAATTGCTTAAAGGGCGTTTCAATTTTGTGGGGTCTTCCTTAGGGTAGGTGTGTCAGTGGGTGAGTGAAGCTGTGGCTTGGTTAAGCAGACGAACTGGGTGAGGTGCATCTTCCTCTTCAACAGCAGGTCTTGCAGAACACACAGGGGCCGGGAGTTCTGTACATGTAAACAGTACACTTTCACTGAGTCCAAAATTAGGAGCAAAAATACAAAGGTTCACATTGGTCTTAGGTAGATACAGGCGAAGAACTGAGCTGTACAGCTCCGAAACAACCAAACAAAAGTTTCTAAAGCACCACTAAAATATATAAAAATCAGACCATGGACGGATTGTAGTTGGTATTCTGGTGAAATACTATGCTACCTTGTAAAAAGTTTTACAAAAAATTACAAATCAAAAGTATATTAACCCTCTGAGTTCAAAGCAGCATTTTTTTTCATGAACTGGTACTAAATCCGACGGCCACTCGTGGGAGGGAAGTGACCCTTTGGATCGGGGAGGTACAAGTTACGTCTGCTCGCAATCCCGGGAACGCTCTCCCATGTAGAAACACCGTCATGGGAACCGCACATCCACGGCAGGATGGTTGTGTTTAAAATAAAATAAAATAAAATTTTAAAAAATCTATTTTCTCGACCAGTGATTAGCTTTTCTTAAAGAAAACCAAGAACATCCAGACCATTTGCTAACCCAGCATTCTCCTTCCACCTCTCAGAATATCTGGAGAGCCGGTGTATTCTGCTCCTGCTCATTCCTTCTCGTTGAGAACCCGGACTAGCAATTCCTGACCCCGTCCTGCCTAGTGAGAGCGCAGGAATGTGGCTGTGAAACAGTCCTGGAGCACAGAAGAGCCGCAACAGAAGAGCATGGATCAGCTGAAGAGCACTGAGATGTCTGTGGAGCTCACTCCAAAGAAACTATAAAGCTGCGGCTCACCAAAAAAAAAAAAAAAAAAAAAAGAAAGAAAAAGATCCCTGACAGAAATTCGTAGTCAATCCCGCTTGTTTCATAACTTGTCACAGATGTGGCTGTCACTGGGGCTTTGGAAATCTGAGTCTGTACCATTCAGCTGCAAGTTATGAACATCAGTTGTTAGGACAGGGCAGACTGTTGGACACCTTCCTATGCAACCATGAGCCTCATCTGTCTTCTACAGCAGTTTAACAAAGTGTAAGAGCTACTAAACTTCAATACATGCTAAGACAAGTTCAAAGGTGATCTGGTAACGACAGCTAAAACTTGTATAAATAAAACTTTAAACAAACTGTAGCTGATGGTGATCTGTCCGTAAGCCCCTGGGTAACCTCTTTTTTCAGTAACCTGGATGGCAAACGTATGGCTAAACGTTCTCGATGGCCTCTGACAGGGAGGGAGGCACCAACTCGGGTGGGATATCGCAGAGAGAGAGAATTCCGGGACAGCGATTGTCTCTGCCTCTCCTTCCTTAACGTTAAGACTTTTCACAAATGGCTGTGGTTACATATTTTTGTCAAAGGTTTGTTACTTCATGGTATTCACACAAAAATAAATATTTACATAAATTCCAAGTATGGGAGGATGCAGTGGACAAACCAAGCAGGCTTGTGAAGTGCTGGGGAAAGCGTGAGGCTGAACCCTGGCTTGGGGCAGGGGGGGGGGGGGCTGGTGTCCTGGGCTGGCCTCAGCCCCGCTCTCCTGCCTGCTGTGGGCAGGGAGGGGACGGGGTGCTCAGCTCAGGCACACCCCGGGACGGCCGCAATGCTCCCAGTCCCAGCATCGGCTGAGGTCTAACAAGCCATCACTTCATCTCCGCACAGACACCCTGACTGCGCCCAAAGGCCAGGAGTTAGGTCCCTTTTCTCCAAATGCTATGGAAAGTTTAAGGTTTGGGGGGGGAAAGTCAATGCAACGGTTAATCCCTTCTGGTGCTGGGCCAGGCAAGCCTGTCCTCAGGAGCTGGGGGCTTTTCCTGTACTGAGACTAAGAGCAGGGTAAAGGTTTTGCTTCTCTTCCAGTGTGTGGGGAGTATAATTGAGTATAAAGGCTACCAAGTAAACTGCCCGGGTCACTCCTGGCTGGGACCAGCCGTTGCCACCGAGCTCAAGCCCATGCCAGCAGCGTCAGCCCCCCACGGAGCGGGAGCCTGCATCTGCAGGCTCAGAACAGCCAAAAAAGAAAAAAAAAAGCTGGCTCCAAAGAGAGAAAATGTCTACCTTTAAAACGAGCGTGTAGGGGTTTACGCTTATCTTGTGGTGAAGACTCCTGCCCGGGTGGGGGGAGCTGTGCCGGCATGGGGGCGCGAGGAGGAGCTGGGATCCCTGGCAGCCAGTCTCTGCTGCTCTACGTGGCTCCAGAGCACGTTGCATTGCTTGGCTCGGCTCAGCACCTCCCTGCCTGAGCGAAGTCCCTGGGTTTAGCAGCACTGGTAGTAGGTATTGCACTGAGCAAAACGAAGTGCATTATTGGGGAGAGGGTGGGCGGTAACAGGGCAGAATGGTCATCGGACTATGGTTTTTCCACACTTTGGGAATTGTGGGCTTGTTCCAGGCCTGTGAGCAGGGAGTGGGAAGGATCCCAGTCCCTGGAGAGGACTTTGTTGGTTCTGCTGCTGAATGTTGCCCGTCTCTGGCTTCTGCAGAGGAGCGAGTGGCTCGCCGCGCTCAGCTCGCTTTTCAGGCAGAGACCTGGCATTAGCCTTTATTACACCCATGCGGTTCCTAAACGGTTTATTCTCCTGGTGCTAGCCCAGGGCTGGTTTCACACGGACTGGAGCAAACAGCCGGACGCAGCGGGGTGAGGGTGAGCTGCCGCCCAGCAGCAGGACCCCGGCGGATCCGCTGGACCTGCCGGGTTGGTTCCAGCCTCCTCGGCGCGATCCGTGCATCTGCGACACTCACCGTCCCCCAGGACCAGCCGGGCTAGTCCTGGAAGAAGCCCACAATGGAGTGTGAGGTAGAGTACGGGTGGTGACCGCAAGACAGTGTTTCTCAGGTATTTCCTTCCTTCCTTCCTTATCTGCAATGACTTAAATGAGTGCGAGACATCCTTCTAGCCGAAGGTCTGCTGAGCTTGCCGAGTCTCTGCGGGAGATTTAGACCCCACTGCTGCTACGGGACCGCTTAGAACGAAGGTCTAAGCAGGACGCTTGCTTGCTCCGTTGTTCAGCTGCCACCTACGCTTACTGGAGGCTGAGAAGCCTCGAAGTCTAGGGCTGGATGGCAAACTTGCTCCCTGTGGGACAAGGGCTCCCCAGAGAAACAGGCAGAGCTGCCTGGAAATTAGTAGTGTAGTGATATGGAATGTGTTATTTCACAGGAATAAATTCCTTCTGATCAGACAGACAAAAAACTGGCAATCTGTACAAACTCAAAAGAATCCATTTTCAGAAAAATAAATTACTAAGGGGAGAGGAGGGTCCATTTCTCAATAAATATGTGATTCAGCTCACCTAAGACTTGGAAATTATCTGGGGAAGGGAATCTAACATTTGGGTCCACAAAGGTTATTCTAAATACATCTGCAGTCCCAAACCTCCCCAGGCTCCCTTCTGCCCTTGAAAGTCCCACATCCTTCCGAGCTGCAGGTTTGGCTTCTGGTCGGCTGGACGCACGGGTGTTGGTACAGTTCAAAAACGTGTCCTTGTGCCTGAAGTCCCAGGTGCTTGGAGTGTAAAAGAAAACAGGTCTTTTGGATTCCACCTTCTAAAACTACATGTAACCACCGCTTCACGGGAGGACGATGGCGGTCCTGAGCAGGACACTGCTGGGAGCCTCTTTCTAGCAGGTATAAATTGTCTTCTCGACAGAGGAGCGATGCAGACACAGGGAGTCAGTTCTGCTGTAAAATGAGGTTTTCCAGTTCATCTGCAGATCGAAGCAGAAATGCCGCTGACTCTCGGTAGCCAGCGATCAGCTGCCGCACTGCACTGATCTCCGTGGGGCTGAGCTGGGCAGCCTGCATTCCCCTGCTGGTGCTGTTGGAGGGGGCCGTGCTGGAGGCCCCACCTTTCATGCTGAGATCGGTCGGACCTGCCAAGGAAAAGCCAGAGGGAAACTCAGGCAGAGCAGCCTTGTCTGCATCCGTCCTGCCATGACAAGATCCCCAGCGGGAGCTGCTGCTCCCGGACCTCTGCATCGGCAGGAAGTTCCCTGCAAAGTGCGGTGCCCTGGACAACATGAGAAGCCCCCAGCTCCCGCAGCACAGGCAAGTCACTGCCTCTACAGCAGCCACAAGGAAAGAGACTTCAGAGTCAACATAACAAAAATCCCATCCTGCAGCCTGTCCCATCTGCTCTGTGAAGGAGGGTCCGTGGCCGCGCTCTGCCAGGTGCTAAACCTGCCCCATCAAAATCATCTTCCAGGTTCTGGTTTTCCCTCTGCACATGGCAAGTAACATCCCGCACGGGGCATGTCCCTGTTTTAGTGTTGGGGAACTACGTGGTGTCTGTGCCCAGCACACGTGGGGCCGGGCTGTGTGAGGAGGGGACCTGCCCTGCCCAGGCCCTCACACACCGCCCCGGCCAGCAACACGCTTACTCAGTCTTAGGTATAACATTTTGGGGGGGCTAAATGGTCTTACTAGGGTGCACATTTCTGTGGCTTAGTCCATAAACAAAATGAAATCCTGCAAAATTTATGATCTGCCTGATGGGTAGGGATAATTTTTTCTCCCAAGTCCATCTCTGCTCCACCTCTATCACATTTGATCAGCTTCTGACCGTGTCCATGTGTCTGTCCTCTGCAGAACAGGACAGACAGCTTCCCCAGCTCACAAACCCCCATGTGTTGCTACAGATCAGAAACCTTCAAAAAGTCACGAAATTATCGAGTTCTCCAAGACACAGGGAACAGTCAACCGTGGCTCTGGCTGGCTGCAGGTACGTGTGCCCAACGACGCACATGCATGTGCAGCCCAGTTTGGGTGCCTCCACGTGGAAGACTTTGGCAGGAAAGCTGGTGCACCGTCTGAGGAGTGACACGGCCAGGTAAAGGCAGGGGAAAAACTGGATTTAGCTTTGCACTGGACTAAGTAAGAGAAGCCAAATAAAGTGCAAGAACAACACAATCATCTAGAAATGGAGAGAAGAGCAAAGATGTGTACTAGAGATGTGATACTAGTTGGGGAGAGGAGGCAGGCGAGGCTGCAGCCTGGGGGTAAGGAGAAAGAGAAGACACTGAACTGACGCCCTGGCTGTGGGCTGGAGTGCCGCAGGCTGCCGGAGCAGTTGGTGATGCTGCAGAGAGGCTTCAGGAGGGCTGAGCTCCTGCTGGGTGGCCTGACGCAACCGTGGGACACCAAGGACACCAAGCAGTGACCGCACTGCGGCGGTTTGCAAACCGGGACAGGATAGTTCAGCAGCCCTCCACCAACCAGGCGGGTCCCAGTGGTGACCGGTGGCAGGGAGGGGAAGGCATCGCCCCGGGGAGGGAAGGAAAGCGTCCAAGGAAAGCAATGCTGGAGCAGCAAATGCAGTGGGAGGAGTGGCACCAGCAGAGGACTTCCACGCCAGGCTAATCAGTGCTCGGCGAAGGGGAGGAGGAGGCTCTCATGCGAAAGCAATTTCACTGGACAGAAAAGGCAGCAGTAAACGGAGCCTGTTTCCTGGCTCACCAAGGGGGAAGGAGCTGGGAGTGGGGATGTGGGTTTGAGCAAGAATCGCCTTAGGTGGGGGATGGAGGGAGAAGACACTTCTGGGCAGCAAACCAGAGGGAGGAGAAGGCACAGCTCCTTGCAGCATTCCTTGCCAGTGCTACCGCAGCATGCTCTTACCTCTGAAGGACTGGCAAAGAGCTTGGGCAAAGGGGAGAAAAATAATGGCAAAGCAGAGGTTTAAAAAGCCATTAGAAAGAAGCAAGTTGTTGCTGTGTGCTGCTGCTGTGTGCTACACCCGGGGCACGTCTGCTCCTCCTGGGACCCATGCTGACTGGGGCGGCTCTGAGACGGTTCTGCAAGTTCGCTGCCTCTTGTCAAGGAGCCAGTGCTCGCGGCTGGGCTGGGTGAGAGGAGGGTGCCGGGCAGCGTGGGGGGCCAGGGCTGCTATGGCTGCCTCCGCTGTGGCTGCAAGGATTAGGTCTCAGCAGCTGGAGGCTGGGGCGGGATCTTTATTCAGGGTTAAGAAGCATTAGGAAGGGATGATAAGAGTTAATCCCAGACAGGCATCTCTCAGGGCTCCGGAAATCACATCCTTCCAAATCCTCACTCCTGTTGGGGTGGGCAGGGGCAGGGCAGGAGCTCAGAGCGCACAGGGGCAAACAAAGGCAGCCCGGACATTGCT